TCTTTAGTCTTTCAACATTTTAATTTGTAAAATAAAATTTGAAAAAAACAAACAAATTATTCCCCATTATTGTATATATGTCAAAAAGTTTTATTTTGAATTCTGTTCCTCTTGAATTAATCAACTAAGGCGAATTATTAGGAAAAATGAACAGCTTGATGTACTTGTAAACATTAGTATAGATATTTGGTTCATTTTCCCAGTATATGTTCATGTACTCCTGAGTCATATTTTGTAGTGATAACTAGTGATACTACCCGGCTGCCCAAATCGGATTCTTAATCCATTGGTTGAAGTACATAGTACACACAAGTGGGTAATCGTGGATTCATGTATTCTGTTAGATCTTCGTCAGGCTTTGCTCTAATATACAGTAATATTTATATGCATATACGAAATTGTTAAATTAATCAAGGCAGTTACTGAGTTAGTGATAACAGTAGAATAGATCACATAAGTAAAGAGTACAAATTCATAGTATTTGTATTCATAAGTGTTATAACTTGTGACCTGTGCACCGTGCTAATATATAACGTAACGATGCCGCCAAATATAGAGCAGTGAATTATCGATCGGACCAATTACGCCTAAAACCCATACGAGCAGTCTAGAGCACTTATCGGTCCTACTTCCTGGCTAGCCCAATCAATTAAGTCCAGGACACCAATCTCTGCCTCTGCGACATGAATCATTTATTTCAAGCATACTGGGTTTATATACCAATCAAGCAGACCACATCGTACCAATAAGGTATGAAACAACATTTGTACAAGAATTAGCCAAATGTGGATGTGAATGAGGGAGGTAGTAAGTAATAGACGGCATAATTCAAGAATGGTAAGTCGTATAATAATAGTTCATAGGCCAAACTAAAGCTTATAATAAGAGGGACATGAATATGAACAGTTTAGTTATTTAACAATTTTAAAAATATACACATAGTATTGGTCCACAAATGGATCCCAAAAAGTTACCATTCATTATGCTTATCAGGACATAACAATGAGGAATTTGTAACACCTTTGTCTCTTCCTTGATCGAGATAGCCTTAATAATTATTTCTCGCACCTTTTGTTCGTTTATTTCTCTTCATTCAATCCAAATCATTTCTTCCAAATGTACGCTTCATTGTTCAATTATCTGAACACTTATTACATAATCCTATAGTTTTTATGAGTGCTATTTCAGTGTCTATATTACTAAAGTCACTGACCTATTTCCCATTATGAAACATGGATTCAAGCCCTAGTACACCTGTCATATCATTATGAATTTGTACTCTACTTATATGATCTGTTCTACTGTTATAACTGGTTCATAAACTGTATTGATTAGTTTAATAATTTTGTATATGCATATAAATATTACTGTATATTAGAGTAAAGCCTGATGAAGATCTAACAGAATACATGAATCCATGATTACCCACTTGTGTGTACCATGTATCTTCAACCATTGGATTAAGAATTCGATTTGGGCAGTCGGCTAATATCAAGCCTAATGAGGATCTAATTGGAAACAATGTTGTTCGAATTCACAATATAGGAACTTTAAAGGTTCATATATTTTAAAAATGTCCATTTGTATAGTTCAGTATCTACTTATGAGTTATTATTTTGGTTAAAATAAATTATTATTAGTGTGTCTTTTTCCATATTTCTTCGATATTAAAAGTAAAGAATCTTGATTAGTACGTACTCTAGTGTTAGTTTTTTTTTAATCATACACAGTGAATAAAGTAGGTAAACTCTCAGTTTTGTTTAGTCAATATTTTTCAGTCCTAAATCGATCAACATAATTTAGATTGTTGTTGAACGTTTATAGTATGGGGTCACTCAATCCACTGAATATAAATTACAACTGAAATAATTTAATATAGCTGGTAGTTTCTTGGTAGGTGGAAAACCCGGTTTCATGACCAGCCATATCTATCATAATACCACTGAACCGCCAGTGACCAAACCTAGGTTTTATAGTGGTTACCTTACCCGGTCACCAAACAACACATTAATTGTAACAGCTATATGTCCTAAAGTAACGTAAGACTAGGAATTCAAGGATGTATGACTAGCAGAGATCTACTTCAAAGTAAGCTGATTATTGTCAATGTTATTACACGGTTAAAACCCATATACTATTGCAATTGATGTAAAGTATTTTAATGTAGTTTATACATTTCAATACCAAACACTTTTCTCATTTTAGATATATTTAATATTCAATATATTTTAAAGCAAATTACTTTAGAGACCATTAATCTAAGAAAATCATTCGAAGATTGTACACGTGTTTATATCGTGTGATTAATGCATATGATGTAGCTTAATTTTAGTTATATTCCGATTAATTTGAAGCGTTTTCTAAATTATTCTGATAATAATTACATTTACCTACTGTGACTCAGCATAGCTCCTACATCTATATATTTATGTACCCTAGGAGAGTAAAATTCTTATTACTGACTTAGTATTTGTTCTGGCACTTTCGGTCTATTTGTAGGAACAGTATGTTGTAATAAAGCATTAACGGCGATAGGATATGTTGAACGACAACTAAATCAACAAACCTACAGTACTTAATTCGCTACCGAAGTTTTTATTTTATTTTGAGACTAGTTATCGTACAATATTTATCCCTGGGTATTACCTAAAATTCTGACCATACTTTCTTGAACTGGATTTAAATTATAGGGGTGTTTTGATTTTGGACTTCGGCCGTATTAAGGGATTATATCACAGTGAAACAGTTAGTGAAGTTCGACGAGACTGTCCTCCTGTTGGAATTAGTACCATCATCATTCCTAAGCTGTAAGGTCAAAAGTTTCGCAGTTCAACTTAAATAAGAGGTCTCGTGTCGATTGGTTTCATAGGTTTTGAACATTTTTAGGTCAATAATAACTAAAGAGAGATCATAAAATCCGAACGACTGATTGTTAATTTTCAGGTAGCCTGAACAATATTCAATCGAGGTTTCAGAATTAAGGAACAAGGTGAGAACGCTAAAGATTTGTTGCAGCTGAATACTGAAGCTTTTCGATATATCTGATGCGGCCGAGGATGGGGAGAGTCAGCTCTACCGAAATGCTTTTACATGGCCATGCGTATACAGCTACTGACAGGGGAGTCCTGCTCACTGCAGTCTCGCGGTATTACTTTTGTTTACGAAGTTGACAAAACGAAAAGTGAATGTTTGGCGCATTAACCGGGTTGGTGGACACGAAGGGTACGCCTAGAGGAGTTGAAGAACCATGATTCCAAACCAATGATCCATATGGGCTCCAGGATTCTGGTGGATCGAATGCCACATGAACTCATTGTTGGTCATCAGCTACCATGTGACTGCATCTCCTGATGTTGCTCCACTACCTTATGGGTTAGGCTTAGGGTGTGGCCCCCTAAAACAAGCACCTGCTTCAGTTTTGACACCCGGGCAGTATCCCAGTTCTCACACAAATCAAGAGACTTCTGCGGTGCATATGTATTCGATGCCGTTCTGTACCAATATTATTGCGTTCAAATCTCGATAGACTGGTGAAACTGCTCAAGCTGAATTCAGGAAACAATTAATTACGTAGAATATCCCCCTGAGCAATTTTAAGGGACAATAATGTACTTGTCTAGACGTTCATTTTATTTATATACGTATTGAAATTCTGTTTATTGAAAAAAACACGAGCAAGGAAATATCAGAATTGTGCTTGTAATTCCATCTATTCCTTCACAAGGAAAGTTGTCACATTTCGATGTTTCTAAATAACAATTTACAGAACGCATAAGCTATTCACAAAAAACATTGTATTGGGTAGAGCGCCTATTTATAGTGGTTAGTTCAGTTACAGGGAGTCTAACCAGAAATTGAGCCTGCAGGTTCCTCGATATTAGTGAAAGAATTCACAAATTGTTTTAACAAGACATTTCCATGAAAGTTTATGACTAGACACTCATAAAGTACAGAGGTTAATTGTTATATTGTTAGAATTTCCAGTTCTATTGCATAGAGACTTCATTTTAATGAGATGTGGATTTATAGACGAATTTATCAGTGGCAGATCGCAAAGACGTGTCGCTGACTTAGCTTAGAACTTGATGTTGAATTTCATTCTATGCTGACGGAAACAACCCATTATCTTTTCAGGTAATAACACTAACTTCAGGGCTTTACATCGTCGTACTAAGGGAAGACTTTGAATATGCCCCGTGCAGCCCGACTGTAAGACGGACACCCAGTATAGGAAAAATGAAGTGTTGGGTCTAAATACATTGTACCAACTACTATGGATGTCTTTAACAAATCTCAAGACTAGTAGACCAACCATGTACTACATTAGTTAATAGTTAGTCAAGCAGCACAGTAAGCGGCTGTTCGAGATATAAGTGTCCGACCATAGAAGTAACTTCTGTGTCATGGCGACAGTCTGCAATGCTAACGCAAGGAGGAAAGTCTTATGGTAAAAGTTGTGTAGCTGATACCTGGAGTGTAGTGTTCTGAAGCCAAACGTGTTTAGGCCAAAACATCACATCAACATATGACAATAACCCCTTACTTTGGTTGTTTTATATCCCTTTTAGAAAAATGTTTATAATCCTAAACCGTTATGATTAGTTTCCAGCCTGTAGGGGTAGGAATTTTTATATCATTTTTTGAGAGTGAACTAATTTGGCTGATCCCGCTTGGCAGTCTGTAGCAACTTTGACTGTTACAATTAACTGCTGTCTTTTATATCAAGACAGATTGGATAAAATGAGACAAGAAACGCAACTGAGCCGCCTATTTCTTTTTAAAAAATTGAAGTCGGCCACGTCATTGGTATTAGAAACCTATGGATATAGGAACAAATGCTTAATTTTTACTGAAAGTGCATTACGCTACAGCCAAAAAAGATCGTATCAGGTATAGATCAACTATTCACACTACATGATATATTGAAGTATTGCGTCACACGGCAATTGACTTCACACATACCCAATATGTAGCCGGGCAAGCAGATTTAATGATCCATAGAAAAAGTAGCTGGTGTATATATCGGTAACTACATGTGAATACGAATACAGGACTAATGCTAAAAATAGGTAAAAGTTTAAGGGGATATATAAATGGAGATTATTGCAGAAACGTATTAAGCTACTATTGTTACCGTTACGAAATGCTCAGGACAGTAGACTTTTTAGTTGGTTTACAGGAAGGTCAATTCTTTCGAAACTTATAATGACGCTTATATATAATAAACGAAACTGAAAGGTTACATCTCAAAACAAGTTAGTCAGTTCCACTAGAAACGAAAGGAGAACCAAGATCTGCGGTAAACCTATACGTTTATTTCAGACATTAAAACTTTTGGAATGCCTTTTTGTACTTTGAACCAGCGGCTTTCGAAACTTTGATGACATTGAATGATACTGTTTTACTCAGGGGTCTACACTCACCAACAGTTACGACATCTCCAATATCCACATCTCTGCAAGTGTAAACAAACACAAGGTGAACTCACCTGAAGCAAGGAGATATATGTACAGACATATTCTTATGTCGCTTCTCATATCGGTTGTACTTTTTCACGTACTTGAGGTAGTCACGACGAATAACAATAGTCCGGTTCATCTTCATTTTACGCACAACACCTGTGAGGATTCGACCACGGATACGTACATTTCCAGTGAAGGGACACTTCTTGTCAATGTAATTACCGAATATAGCCTCTTTTGGAGTTTTGTAGCCAAGACCTATGCTCTTGTAATACCTTCCGCCGTTCTTTCCTTTAACTTCTTGCTTTTGAAATGCGTTTTCTCTCTGGAAATAAACAATTTACGTGACCTGCAACTAACCTGCTCAGCCATGCCCACGTAAATTTAAAGTTTGTGGCGTTCAGGCTCACCCATTTAAACACTTTCTCTTTACAGGGTCGTTGAATTTCAAAATACGTGATTTTTAACTAGGTGTTTTTAAGGTTTCAAATAAAGTAATAAATAAAAATATTTCGGCATATAATAATGTTTGAAACATAGAGTATCTGTACTAACTTCGTAGTGATCATCATCCTCAGTAATTGGCTAGCTCATGTTGGATAGTCTATATATACGGTATACCGTATATTCGTTTACTTTCTTCCCAATTTCATGCTAGTGGACTCTATATATCCAAACTGGTTTTCGTTTGGTTATTTGCTCAAATATCTGATATGGGATGTGCATGGAGTGAACCAGCTAAAGTTCAGCAGGATAAGAGTAGGGCTATAGAGAAGCAAATAAGACACGATGCAGAAAAATCAATGAAAGAGGTCAAGTTACTTCTTCTTGGTGCTGGTGAGTGTGGGAAGTCGACAGTTTTAAAACAGATGAAAATAATCCATGGTGAAGGTTACAGAGAAGAAGAGAGAAAAGAGTACAAACCCATCATTTTCGCCAACACCCTTCAGTCGATGATAAAAATTCTAAAAGCAATGGAGACACTGGATATAACGGCGGATGGTTTCGACCAAGCAGATGAGTTAAAGCACCTAAACGGATATTTACCTACAGTTGAAGAAGGAGATTTTCCTGAGGATTTATCAAAACTTTTACTAAAACTATGGAACAACACAAGTGTGCAGAAATGTTTCGCACGTTCCAAGGAATACCAACTGAATGATTCCGCAGGCTACTACCTCAGTTCTATTGATAGAATATCTGCTCCTGATTACTTGCCAACTGAACAAGATGTATTGAGATCTAGGGTGAAGACAACAGGTATAGTCGAAACGAACTTCCGGTTCAAGGATCTAGACTTTAAGGTTTTCGATGTCGGTAAGTTCATTGAGATTTATCACAGAACGTTATTTTTATGTCCTGGTTGCCGTAGTACATGATACTCCTGAGAAATATGATAATAATAAATTCATGAGGTGACATATTAAACCACATTAGAGTAAGATTTGTGATATTTACAAGTGTGTGAATTTGGTTATTATGGAGTGTTACGCGATCCCAGTTGTGAAATTAAAAACCTTATATATTTTGAGCTAGCTTTATTAAAGACATTCACTTCTCTTACACTCAGAGAGCGACAATGAATCGTTTTTACTGAACTTTGTACTATAATGAGTCTATAAGATGGCCAATTTTGTGCTGTCGGTAATAATATATTATCACTTGTAGTAGCAGCGATTATAATTATGTATATGAGTCTATAGTGCATCATTCCTAATGCATATATCTGATTTTCTGACACATACTTTGTGCCTCTAAGCTTGAGCCAAACGTACAGATTATGATGAATATAGGTACGTTCTCGTTTATGAGCAAGGTGAGACTAAAGATCCTTATTTATTTATTTGATTTACTTATAATATTACTGCATGTATCAGAAATGTTGTCGAAACTCGAAGTTTGTGATACTTATTTAATAGATAAAATAAGGATGGAAACTCAAGTTAAAAATTCCTAATGTCCCGTATTTTTAACTATGTGATAAAGTATTTTTTTGAATTTTTATCTCTTTATGGACTCCAAGTTGAACGTCTTCCATTTCTCTTTCTTATATGTTATATCTTCCTCGTGATCTTTTGACTGTTACGAAACTTTTCTATATGAATGAAATGTGACTAGCACCATTTACTCAAATATGAACTACTTATTCGGTAGAGTAACTATCGGTTGCATTACGAATTTGATATTTTTCCTCTTTTCTTTCAAACTTTATTTTAATTGAATGTAACAACTTTTCAGAATCGTAGTCCTTGTGAATCAGGAAAAAGAGATGATCTGTAACTTGCTATATATGTGTGTCAGAATATTCTCAGTATAACATTAACTTACTACCATTTAGTCAGTCACTTTGTTAGAAGACAGTTTATACTTTTCCCATCATTGATTACAATGTAAATACTGACTGTTTGTACATCATGAACTTTAACTAAAAATTCAGTTTTGATAACATCAAAATTAATAAAATATTCACTTAATAAGGAAAGCATATAATCATTTTTCTGATTCAGCAGTCACTTATCAAATACAGAGACTTATAGGAGTGAGTTTGAAAACCTTAACTATGTATTATTTCATGTCTTGTGTAAAACATTTCATCAAATGACGAATTATAAATATTATTATGAACAAGAACATAAACGAAAATATACAAGTATGAAGTTATTTGGTTGGTCTGACTTAACATACTATATTTTAAGAAATAAGTTTGAATATCTTAGTATTAGATATGCAATGCATAGACCATGCATTTGTAGATTAAACTTACGCTAATCCCCGAAGTTAAACTTGATGACCACAGAAGTCAGTAGATGTATGTACAGTTGAAATGAAATATTTGCTTACCAAATATGGTGATATGGATTTTGAGCGAAAAGAATCAACCATAATGAACTAAACAGAACTGTGTAGCTTTATAACATTCTCACTTGTTGATTTCGTTTATGATTTCATTCAATATTAGTTAGTTGATTTAAAGAATAATCTAATGGTTATGATCCCAAATCCTCATTTTTGATTGTTTCATGAACAGTGAATAGAAATGACCTATATCATTGTATATAATTCTGCTATGAAAGATACTGTATCAATCAGTTTATGTCCTTTCAAAAAACATCCGAATTTTAAGTGACTATTCTTCTATAACTATGACTTAATTCAAAAAGGTTTTTTAACATGTTGATTGTTATGATGCGAAAGGAGCTGTGGAAATGATGCTGAATGAATATAATACACAAGAATAAGAAACTTAAAACTGACCTTACAATGTATCGTATAGAAAATAGATAAACTTTAACATTAGTCTGTAACATACCTCTTATCTGGTATAAAACCTCTCTCTCTCTCTCTTGTGGTCAGACCTATCTCCACACACTCTCTCTCTCTGTGTGAACTATCTTGATAAGGTACTTAAAATAAGCTTGTCTAGTAACTCTGTAAGAACAAACACTTATAGATAATATAATGTAGTAAATGAGAACATAAATAGGGACAACTGAACGTCTTTAAGCATATCAATTACAGAATCAAACAGTAAATAATTCATTTACAAAATGTTAATCAATCATCTTAAACTTCAATGTTCCTTCATTTCCACACTTATTATTCTTTGTTCTCGTTCTCTTTTATTTGATCTTCTTAACCATTTACCTTCAGACATTTCACTTTTGTTTGATGATACATACTACTACTTATTTCTGTTAACATCAGTAGTATACACTACAATATAATATAATTTGAACGAGATGCCTAATAATGTATCAAGTCATTATCAGTATATAAAAACATCACAAAATGATAAATCATAGTTTGAATAGTAATTTTGATAAATAAATAACTCATCATATTAGGAGATAGTAAACAGATATACTCCCCATAAAGCATTCGATTTGTATGAGGGTTAGAATATTGCCATGGGTACGTACCCAAAACTTGTGATCAATAATAAATATCTGTTTGTTTGTTTACAATGTGAAAGAGAACTATGATTATAATCATTATAACCTCTTTATAGAATATATTCAACTATTTAAAGTGAAACTAACATAATTTATATCAGAAGGGTTTTGTGGAGATTATAGTAATTTCAATGATTGAGATCATGAATCAATTGAAGTTAGACCACCTTGGAAAACCTAAAATCACTGAATGATTGTTCCGTCCTATTGTTGGACTCCTCAACAGTGCGCATTTACGATCTCGCCTCGCAAGATTCGAACCCAAGACTTATCAGTCTTGAGCGCGTACGCTTAACCACTAGACCACAGCCATCCACTCCTTCGAGATTTCTCATGGTGGTCTAGCTTCAATTAACTCATGATCTCAACCATTGAAAGAAACATAATTTACACAATATCAAGTCGTTTAGATTATTGATCGCTTTATAATATTGAATAAAGCCATTACTACTACTATTACTGCTACTACCACTACTACTACTACTGTAGTGAACAGAACATGAGTGAGGACAATCGAATATATTTAACACAAAATTACAGGACTTGCTAATACAATCTAATCATCAAATAGTAAATACGTAATTTGCAAAATGACCATCAATTGTCTCATAATGACTGAGACTTCATTGTTCTTGTATTTTCATACAAATTGCATTCTGTTTCCATTCTTTACTGTTAGATCCTCTTGTCTCTCTGCTGCCAGACATTCTGTTCACGACTAACATCATATACTACTTATGTCAATATTAGTGGTATACACCACACTACTACTACTACTACTACTACTACTACCACTACTACTACTACTACTACTACTACTACTACTACTACTACTACTACTACTACTACTACTACTACTACTACTACTACTACTACTACTACTACTACTACTACTACTACTACTACTACTACTACTACTACTACTACTACTACTACTACTACTACTACTACTACTACTACTACTACTACTACTACTACTACTACTACTACTACTACTACTACTACTACTACTACTACTACTACTACTACTACTACTACTACTACTACTACTACTACTACTACTACTACTACTACTACTACTACTACTACTACTACTACTACTACTACTACTACTACTACTACTACTACTACTACTACTACTACTACTACTACTACTACTACTACTACTACTACTACTACTACTACTACTATTAATATTGATAGTAATAACTTGTTTGACAGAATTCGAATTCAGTAAACAAACATGACATCAATCATCATTCGGTGAATAGGTCATATCGATAAAATCGATTTTCTTTTTCCTTTTTTCTTTTTGCCTGATATCAAACTTTTGAACAACTCCCTTAAATATAATAAATAAAAACTTGATAATAATTAAATAAAACGTTTAGGTTAAATATTGAAAAGTGAATTAGTTTTTATTCAATAACTTAATTATAATTATTTTTTTTAAAAATTAATATGTCAATTATTCTTATTATTAAATAGGGAAACATTCAACAGTAAGTAAAGATAGAAAAGAACAATAAGTTACAGGTTCATATTTCTATATGATAATAGAAGGATGAATGAAAATAAATTTGGGTTAATTGTCTTAGTATAGTCTAATTAAATACTTGACACATATATATATCTAGAATGGGTTTTGTGGGTCCTTCCGGGAGCTACTGTTGGTCTCAAACCCGGAAAAAAGGAGGAGGGTTGGGCATGGGGTTAGCAACCCCATCCCGTAGAAAACGAATTCGCTAGAAAAACGCTAACCAGAGAAAATTATTCAAACCCCGCGCTGGGAGCCAGAAGGTCTTCATTTAGAAGAGTTATGACGCTTCATGATGAAAGCTGAGTTCCTTCGGAAGTCACGAGGCCGATACTCCTTCTGACGACCATAGAAACCATTTATTTAGTGTAAGTAGGTAAGTAAATAAGTAAGACCATCATAGAAAACTTGGAGGCACAAGACGATCGTTTCGTCGTAGTATGGAACTCCTCAGAAGTGAGCATTTACGATCCCGCTCCGCAAGATTCGAACCCAGGACTTGAAGTTCTAGTGAGAAGCAGCGACCAGTGAAGCTCAACCAAGTCTGTTGTGAGATAATAACTCACTGATGACAATGGTGGATTAGTTGAAGTTAAACATAAACACCGTTGAATGCCGGTCATTTCAGTTATCTATAGGTTAATCGTTCGTGTGCTAATTGATAGGCCCTGGGTTCGAATCTCGCGAGGCGGGATCGTAGATGCGCACTGCTGAGGAGTCCCATAGTAGGACGAAACGACCATCCACTGCTTCCAGATTTTTTATGGTGGTCTAGCTTCAATTTATTCATGGTTTCAACTATTAAAATTATTATAATATCCACAAAA